TGGTGCAGTAACTCGTCCTCGGGTGTTAATATGAAGGACCTCACGTGGTCGTGGGGACACCAGGTGGTGCTGGGTGGTGTTGTGTTATCTCGTAGTCAGGTGCATAGCCGGCCGGCCCTCTGTTGTTCCCAGGGTGGACGGATTAGCACCTCCTGGTCAGAAGACGGCGGTCAGTTCCCAGGGGTGCTTATCCCACTGGTGGGTCACGACTCTCACTGGTACTGTCTAGTGCTGAATTCACTGGCTTAAACACTGTTCATCACTGATCCCACTTCTTTCCGAAACGAAGTTGTTACTTTTGATTATATTATATCCCGTTGGTGAGGATGGGTTGGGGAGAGGACTTGGGGAATGGGCCGAACATTGGCCAAGGGGGGCCGCTGCTCACAGGAGCAGCGCCTGAGTTGGTCTCGACCCTACGGTGGTGTGTGGGTGATGCTAGGGTGTTTTGGTGGTATTAGAGGGTGTGTTTGTGTGTGTGATGTTGGGGGGTGTGGGAGATGTTGGAGGGTGTGTGTGGTGTTGGAGGGTGTGGGTGGTGTTGGAGGTTGTGAGTGGTGTTGGAGGGTGTGTGTGGTGTTGGAGGGTGTGGGTGGTGTTGGAGGGTGTGCGCATTGCATTCATTAAAATACAAATTTAAGGGTCATTGGGGTTTGGGGTTAACCCTAGAACACATTCGATGTTTTGTTTTACCTTGCCACATTCTTTGTCACTATTGTGTACCAATTTTGGGTAAAAAAAAAAAATACATAGAGTTGTTTTTATTAATTTACAAGCTATGGACTTAAAATCTAATCTTAATACTACAGTCTGAAAGAAAGAAAAACGAAAAAAAAACAAAAAATGCAATTCGCCATGGGTAACTTAAGACAACTAGTAAAAAGGGGGTAATTTCCCTACACAACTTTAAAGTTAAGACTATAGCTATGAGTAGGATGCCTGGATTCTGAAATCCGTCAACCAGTGGGCAGCAGGGGGGTGTGGGGGGCAGCAGGCCGACCCGCAGTCTCCTGGCAGCACGATATCATGTGGGCGGAGCTGTCAAAGAAAGGTCATTTTTTCACTGACTCAAAAATGACTGCTGTGCAATATATTTTTTTATAAATGTAAATATTATTTATAAATATTACATGTAATGAATATTTCATTCAAAAAAGGACAGGAGATTATTACTTACTTGTCAGCAGTGAAGTAGCTGATGCACTGAGGGAGGATGTGGCGGCTGCAAAATGGTTGCTTGCAGGTGAAGCACACATAGCGGCTGCGCCGGTTCTCCACCCTAGGGCACTTCCTGCACCTCGCCCTCGGGTTGTTGGTGCTGTTGGCCAGCACTGCCTGCTCCATGTCTGCATGGACCCCAGGAGGAGCGATGCCGAAGGTGCTGGTGATGCAGGACTTCAGGCTGAGTGACAGGCGTGGGTTGGTCAGGCGCCCCTTTGCGCAGGGCCTGATCAGTGCCAGTGCCACCTCCCGCATGAAGTGACGCCGTGGCAGAAGTGTGCGACGAGAGCGCTCCACTGTGCACGATCCAGGCGTTGATCAGGCAGGCATTGAGGATGCCGTAAAAGATGCACAGGGGCCACGTCTTCCTCTACCTCTGATAGGCAGCCATTGTTCACAAAATGGTTTTGTTATGTACATGAAACACATGAAACGTCAAAAAAATAATTGCACATAAGTACCTCCAACTCCTCATCATGTAGCCTCTGATAGGCAGCCATTGTTCACAAAATGGTGTTGTTATGTACCTCAACCACTTGAAACATCAAAAATAAATAAAAAAAATACACAATTATTCACGTGTCACACACGATGACGGTAAAACATTGGTGGACACTATTATAGCCCAAACCTTTGATATCTGGAAAACCGAGCCAAGGAGCGCGCAGCAGCGACCTTCCACCTACACGGCGCAGCTCACCAAAAATTGCCTAAATTCAAAAAATTTTTAGAAATGGACACTTACCTTGAGGTGTGTATGTAGAAGGCTCCTGGATGATGATGCTGATGTGAATTTGAAGTGGGAGGTGGAGGAGGAGAAGGGAGAAGAGAAGGAAGTGGAGGCGGAGGAGAAGCATTTTACTGCTTCTTGGAAGGTGAGTCACCTTCCATGAAAATGTCAGGAACCTCTGGACTGACAGATTCTCCACCATGAACATTCTCTCTCCTTGAAGTGGAAGGCTGAGGGCTAGCATCATCCTCTCTCCTTCTTGAAGTGGAAGGCAGAGGGATAGCATCTTGTTCCCTCTGCCTTTTACTGAAGAAAGTGTCAATTGTGGTCTGTGGGGCATCTCTCCTCCTCACCATTAACTTATGTTTAAAGAAGGAGACCATTGAGTCCTCAATATGACACAAAGTTAATTCAATTTTTTCCACATCTGGGTGCTTTGAAGCCAGTTCCCTGAACTTCTCCCATATGGTCATCACTTTCAATTTCCTCCTCACCTCTGCCAGCCTCTAACATCTCATCCAGTTGCTGCAAGTCTTCAGGAGTAAGTTCCTGTTCATGAGACATCACAGGCTCTTCTACACCATCCTCCTCCACTTCAAGGCCCAATGACTGACCAATGGACACAATCTCCTGGTCCAACTCTGCTTCTTCCTCAAATCCCTCAAAATCATGGACTACTGATGGCCACAGTGCTTTCCATGAAGAATTGAGGGTTCTAGTGGAGACTTCTTGCCATGATGACACAATCAATTTTACAGCCTCCAGGATGTTGACTTGTGTCTTCCAGAACTGTTTCAGGGTTAGTTCAGGATCATTGAAAGTTGTCTGATGACACCTCCTGAACATTTTCTTCATATACAACTTCTTGAAGTTGCTGATCATGTACTGGTCCATTGGCTGTATGATTGATGTAGTGTTGGGAGGCAAAAACAACACTTTTACAAAGTCAAATTGATACTCCAAATTTCTGGCAAGGTCAGGGTCATGACCAGGAGCATTATCCATGAGAAGAAGAGCCTTTAAAGGGAGTTTATTGGTGGTTAGGTAGCTCTTGACAAGAAGGGCCAAACACATCAACAGCCCATTCATTAAAGAGCTGTCTTGTCACCCATGCCTTACGGTTGGACTTCCAATAAACACCAAGCTTTGTTCTTACCACTTTCTGTTGCTTGAACACCCTGGGGTTTTCAGAGTGGTAGACAAGCATAGGCTTCAGTCGGAAATCCCCTGAAGCATTGGCACCAAGCAATAGAGTGAGACGGTCTTTCATGGGTTTATGCCCAGGTAAAGAGGCTTCATCTCTGGTGATGAATGTTCTTTTGGGCATCTTTTTCCAGAACAGCCCAGTTTCGTCCACATTGAACACTTGCTGTGGAAGATAATTTTCTTCTTCCGTCAGTTCTTTAAATTCCACTAAAAACTTTGCTGCCCCTTCCTTATCAGCACTGGCAGCCTCACCATGCCTAACAACACTGAAAATGTCACTTCTTTTCTTAAATTTTTCGAACCAGCCTTTGCTGGCCTGAAAATCTTCAAATTCTGTGCCTGAAGAACCAGGTTGATCTGTCTTTAAATGTTCGTATATCTCCCTGGCTCTTTCACAAATGAATTCAGTAGAAACTGAATCACCTTTCATCTGTTTTTCCCTAATCCAGATGAGAAGTAACCTCTCAGTTTCTGCAATTAGGGATCTACTTTTAAACACTCTGGTAGATCTGTCTCTCACTTTCACTTCTTTAAATTTGTCTTTCTGTGCAAGAATTGTCGACACAGCTGATGTTGACATGCCATATTCTTTGCATAGCACATTTGTTCTAATGCCTTGTTCATGTTTTCTTATAATTTCCTGCTTGGTTTGGATTGAAATCGCTTTTCTTGATCTCTTATGCCCCATGCTGGATTCAAACAATGTCAACACGTGATCTTTTAGGTATAAACTTGCTGTAAATAAAGAATATTTTCTATAAAATAACACTGCACTGCGCTATATATTGTCAATATGTAAAATATATTTCAAAATGACCAATAATTTGCTTGGCCACACAGAAAAAAAGCGTTTAGTTGAAGAGAGTCTCAAGCAAGATGTTACCTCCACTGAAAACAGAGAGAGGCTAACGCTTGTTTGCTGTGTTAAGAGGCTGGATGGCGCGCATAAAACTAGTCACTTTACCTTCAATTATGTTCAATAATTGTAAAAATTACTAAAAAATTTAATATTAAACTTTTAAAATTATTGAATAGTATAAACTTCTTGATATTTACTAAAATAGTAAGGAATTTAAGCCCTAGAACCGATTACTGTATTGGCGGACTAATACTACAGCTGGTTGACCGCCAAGTGCAAGCGAAAACTTGGTGAGGTCGGCTCGTAAGAAACTCGTTAACCGAGGGATTGCTCGTTAACCGAAGTTAAGAATCTTATGGGAGGTAACTCGTTAACCGAAATCTCGTTAACCAAGGCGCTCGTTAACCGATGGATCACTGTACAGTAATATGTTGCTCAAAATTATGGCTTTTTCACAGGAATGAGTCTGTATAACTAACCTTAATGGTCAGGATATTATGTACTGTATTTTTGTTTTTGTTTTTTATATCATTATTTATCATTTTATACAATTAGTACATTCGTCGGAAAATTCGGACACTTAGCTTTATCAGACAGGTGGTCCCCCCTTTTAGTCCAGATCTTTGAGGGTTCACTGTAATGGGAAACAAATTGTATCCTGCTGCTAAACATTTTATAATACAGGGTAATGGGAAACATATTGTATCCTGCTGCTAAACATTTTATAATAATGGGAAACATTGTGTACAGTATAGGTATCCTGCTGCTACGCATATCAAAGGCCTCTGACAAGGGTCAGCTCTACCAAGAAGTGTTTTAGTCACATGATTCATGCAGTTTACATAACCATTTTCCTTTTTTAATTATATAGAATTTCACACATTGACTTCATTTTTTGACATCATAACTTTAATTTATATATTCCCGAGGTGTTATAGTTTAATTACATTTGCACTATGGCTGAAATATATGATTTTTCCACAGATTTCACGAGTCTTGACAAAGCACGGGAAAGTGGCCAAACGTATCTATCATATGCATCCATTTTTCCTGGAGCAAACAGCAAGGTTGAATTCAAGAAAAAACTGAAAGCTGATAATGACAAGGATGTAGAAGATCCTATGCAACCAAAATTTGACAGGCTGTCTCTCTTGTTAAGTCCACAGGATATGTATGAACATAATTATCCATCACCAGTGCCAGGTTCTCCAGGATATCAAGACCCAGAGTTCGTGTTCACACATGAGAATTATAGTGAGGTATGGATCATGTTTGATATTAGTATCTATTCTTAATGAGACATGAGTTTGTATTATATAAGTAGGGAAGGGTGACAGGAAGATATTACTGAAATGTTAATGTGTATGGAAGTAGAATGTAGGAAATGAGATGTTTCAGGTAATTGGTAGTACCATACAGGTTGTACCTCTCTTGTCCGGCATTCTGTGGTCCGGAAACTCCCGTGGTCCGGAACGATTTTAGTTTGTCCAATAGGTAGATAGGCAGTTTTTTTTTTTTCCTACACTTATCTGAATTGCTATTATTGGCCAGGAGTATTAAATTTTGCCTCAGGCCCCAATGTGGGTCAGTGACCTATGCCGGAGTGGGCTGTCCATAAAAAAGCCGCGGGAAATTAAGGTTTGTTTACATCCAGCAGTTCGGCTGCTCTCTCTCTATCTCTCTGCTTGTCTATACAGAGTACAAGATTTAACCCTTCAATATATATGAGCAGTAAATAAGTGTTGCTTTCATATTCTTATGTAGAGTAATGACGATATATTTTCACATGTGCGCACTTACATACTAGCAGTCTCACTTTTTTTTACCATTAATGGTTAGCTACTTATATTGTTCCATTTATTAACATTAAATAACATTACAGGTACTTCAAGCAACCATATTCATTTTTTACATCAATTTTACTAAAGCTAAACTCAGGGTCTTATTTTCTTCAGTTTTATATGTAGAACCAATCAGTCACTGGTTTCGTAAGCTTTAACATAAACAATGCTGGCAGCCGTCTCGTCTCCTCTAACATTCCACGTATTATTATTAAATTGTATTGTTAATTTTGCACACACGTACATTAATTCAATAAAAACAAATTCAGAAACATTAATTAAAATATATATGAACAGTAAATAAGTGTTGCTTTCATATTCTTATGTAAAGTAATGACGATATATGCTTACTGCAGGCGATGCGCACTTACATATGCGATCTTCTTTTTCTTTACCATTATCGTTAGCTACTTCTATTGTTCCATTTATTAACATTAAATAACATTACTTAAAACAACCATATTAATTTTACTACAGCTACAACCAAGTCTTATTTTCTTCGTTTATATGTAGAACCAGTCAGTCACTGGTTTTGGTAATCAAAAACAATGCTGTGTCATTTCCTCGTGTGTTTAATATTCTACGTATTATTAATGGATTGTATTGCTCATTTTGCACATAAACATTAATTCAATAAAAAGACATTCAGTAATAAACAATAATGAATCTTGTACATAAGAGAAATGAGCTGTTTACACGTTATGCATGTTGGCGGGCTGTTCAAACCCGTCGAAATTCAAGTTCGCCCGTCAAAATTTTTATTATTTATTTTTTTGTGTGTTCAATAAAATCGTTAAGAATTAAAAACTCCCTTAATTTGAGAAGCTACTATTCGACATTTAACCCTTCAATATGTCTTCAAAGAGACCATGACGCAGAGAAAGTGCTGCTAGTGCTTCCAGGCATAAGCACAAGTCACTATCTATCCAGGAAAAGGGTGAATTTCCATGGTCCGGCACCGGTCAGGTCCCGAGGTTGCCGGACTAGAGAGGTACAACCTGTATTTGCCAGCATATAAGACGCACCCCTATTTTACAATGATATTTTGTGGATTTTTTTTTTTTCGTATGTTCCGTCATACATTTATTGAAAGTGATTTTAAAGTGGTTTTCAGGGGAAAACATAAGATTTTGTGCATGTAAATACAATATACAGTAAAGCCTCCGATAACAACGGTTTGACCAACAACTTTTCATATTTAAGACCCTAGTTAATTTAGGACCCAATTCAATTACTCCCTTATTTCATTCGTATTTATGACCAAAATATAATAAAAATAAAATAAAATTACATTTTCATGTAAATAACCACTAAATCCCAATATGTATATATAAAATATAAATTACAGTATTACCCCTATTTACGCGGTCAATTGAACCCACAGGGTACCGCGGAAAGTGAAAACCGCGTAAAAGTGAACTATGTTGTAGTAAAAATAACATCTAAATTTTATTGATGTGCTCCATAATTAATATTTAAGAGAAATACAGTCGCCAGGTTAATGTCCATTCAAATAATGGACTCAAATCCCTCTTCCCAGCTCACTAGCTCCTACCTCTCTGAAATATTTTGGGTGAAACCACTAGATTTTAACAGCGTATATGTAATAAATAATACCTCTGACTAAAGTTAGGATAATATAATTGACATTTCTGGATTCCTTGCAGGTCAGGAATATTTTGAATTTAAACTTCATATATTTTGCACAAAAGATAAAATATTTGCTTTAAACCAAATTATTACATAAGATCTAAAATTTGTATGTCTAATGCAAAATCCATGATGTTTATATTCAAAATGATCATCATATTGTAAGAATTCCAGCAATGTAAATTATATTCTGGCAGGGTAATTTGTATGAATTTATGAGCTAAATAAAAAAAAAAAAATTATACTTCTCTCTGGCGTATATAGTAGATGCACATGAGAAAGTGAAAGTCGGTTCTGGAAGGTACGCGTAAATGAAATGTGGAGAAAGTGAAACCGTGTAAATCGGGGTAATACTGTACTGTAACAAAAATGAAGAGCACCTTGCGCTAAAAGCTGCTTGGCTAATGAGTGGTAAACAGCAGTTGGAGCTTGGCGGGCCTTTTGTTTTCACACATCTGGAACAGGGAGAAAAACTTTCTCAAGTTTCTTACAGCATTTTGCATCCTATTCAACATGAGCAAGAGAGCAAGTGATGGTAGTGTTGTTCAAACTAATAGAAAGTGTATAAACTTAGCTGACAAACTAGATGTGTTTAAAAAGCGATATGAAAAAGGTGAGAGGTCTATGGATATTATATGGAGCAAGCAATGAACATATTTTCTGAAGTGGATCCATTAACAGAACAAAGCCTTAAAATTATAAATGTGACCTCTACATAAAGATGTATAATGAAACTGCAAGGTTCTTTAAACCCGGCTACCCATCAAATTCAGCATCATAAGCAGCTTCAACATCAACTTCAGGTTCAGTAACAGTTTCAGCAACAGCTTTGTGGAAAGCTACAGCTTCAGCCAGAGTTGAACCTGATGACTTCGTCATCGAGTAAAACTACTTTAATATTCATTGATTGTCCTTATGTTTTAGACTTACCACCATTGGTGAGTAGAATTTTAGTTTTACGTTCGCAAATATTATTTAAAACATATATGAACAGTAAATAAGTGTTGTTTTCATATTCATATGTAGAGAAATGACGATATGTTTTACATGTACTTACTGTTCATACGTTGCCGTTCCCATTAATCTCGCCCTATTTCTTTACCATTAGTGGTTAGCTACTTCTAGTGCTCCATTTATTAACATTAAATAACATTACTTAAAACATACATACAGGTATTAAATTTTTTTTAAATTAAGTTCACTACAGCTACAACCAGGGTCTTATTTTCTTCAGTTTCTTATGTAGGACTATTGTCACTCACGAAAACAATGCCTCTTGTCTCCTCATGTGTGTTATAATATTCTCATTATTATTAATGAATTGCATTGTTCAATTCATATATATAAACATTAATTCAATCAAATACATATTCAATAATAAACAATAATGAATCTTTTGTCCATACAGTGGTTCCTCGGTTATGAACTTCGTTTCCAGAAGGTCTTTGTTAACCGAAAATTTCGTTAACCAAATCATTTTTTCCATTTGGATATTGGGTAATTGGTTCAACTCACGAAAAGTACATACAAAGTAAAAAAAAAAAAAAAATGCAGTAAGGACACTTCCGTATATACCCGTGTATACGAGTCTTGAGTTCTTAAAGACAAATTTTTTGTAAAAAGTTGAAATTAAACCTCTGCTCTAGATAATAGATTTCCCGTCTAGGTTGAAAAATATTTACAGTAACTACCCAGTAAACAATGGAAGCAGCCACTGGCTCACCACCCAGCTGTGGTGCAGTGCAGATTACTTGAGGGCAGATCTCTTAAATCATCACTTAAGCCCAAAGTAGCCAAATGCATGGTGATGTATGGTAGCACAGGGCGATGTAAAACATAATGTTAATTTAAACTTTATTTATAGATACTGTACATAAATTTTTTTCATTACATTTTGAAACATCAATCTTTGTTAATTAACTTTGAAACAAAAAACTAAAATACGTGTTTCTAAATAACTTTTTTCATTAAAATGTTACTTCACAGAAAGTATATTTTACCTTAACTGTGCCTGAATGAATATATTCTCGAAATAAATATGGAAATGTAATGCTTTTTATATAAACCAACATCGTATTCACAGTGGAAATTAGAGATACAAAATTGTGGCAAAAGTGGCAGCTTTTCACTTTCTTTGCGTCGTTCAAAAGATTTTACGTAATGGCTTTTGAATATGGTTTTCAGTAAAACTGTTGTATTACAATAATAACTATATCTAAGTCGGCTTGAATAAATACTCTGATACCATATTTCTGAATATTTTCGACTAAAATCCATCAAAATCCCATTTTTCCTTGTCATCATCGTCACGGCACCGACGGCTCCTCCCCAGTCCTCTCGTAGACAACATCGTCATATGAATCCTTTGCCATCTTCAGCCATGAATCATCAATATCTTCATCCTCATTCACGCTCTCATTAGCCTCATAATCCCACAACAAAATGCGTCTTCTGTTCCATCCGGTATTCAAAATCCACATTTCTTAAGATTTCACCCACAATTTCTGGTCTGAATTGCATCCCCCAGGCCTCTACAATCCGATAGCATAATGTTGCTAGTAGTGGAGCTTGAATGTTTATCCTTCTTCTTATATCTTATAGCCTTTTATCGTCAGTTGTTCCACTTCTATCTTACAGATCTTTAAATGGTTTGTTTGCTGGGAAACATCCAGTGGTTGGACAGACTTGTTAATCACAGGAATCTGGCTATATCGATGTTTTTTCATACCGTCCCAGCAATTAACCTGTCAGCAAGATGTGACCAAAACATACTCCACACCAAGACTTTTTTCTTTGCATGGTCTGGTCTAAAAGTTCAGCTTTTTTTTAAGCCATATTTGTAT